GAGTCAAATCGAATTCTCATTGTTTCCTCAAAAACCAAGCTAGATACAAAAATCACACAGATGATAAAAAAGTTGTTATTCCAATAGCTCAATCTAACAAAAATATGAAACTCAGGAAAACCGGTGGTGTACAATGACATTCACCATGAATATCGATAAATTTACCCACTTTGACGCCACTGGAAATATCATTTCGAATCTGATTGCACTAGAAGAAGCTCCATATTATTATTAACAAAACCACAACGTTTTCTTGAAATTGATGAAAACACAATTGAGAAATGAACACTAAAAATATTTTTCATGGAAATATTAATACCCTGTATATCTCGAAAACGAAGCAAGTTGAGACACATGTTTATATGAACTATGGAAATATCACAAGGAATCGCCCATTGAATTTTTTCGGTGTTATTTAGATACACCCTGTATATTATAATATAATTTCTACCAATCAATCAAGCTCTTTCATCAACACCTCAAAATATTGAATACGTACTAAAGAAAAGTATATCCCTTTATAGAAGCCATAATAATAATGTGCGTAATCCCATAAAAGATTGCTTGAGCCACTAAATTCACACGACCGATCACTATCCATCACGCAGTCCGCAGACTTAAAAAGTTTGGTAGGCACTAAAGTCATCCTGAATTGCATATTCCGAAAATTTGTTAATTATGAGTATCTGTAGTTACGAAATCCACTTTTATTCAACAAACAGGTTTTAACGAGCACATCTGGCCAAGTCTGTCCTACGTTCTCTTCGGAGATATTTGGTTGATATCCGGAAATGATCATTTTATGCACGCGATTAGGACATCCACTACACTATGACCACAGATTAGAGTAATCTGTGCTATGACACACTTGCTAACGCCCAGCTGAAATTTTCATTCGTCGTCCGGTTTCAACGATATTTTCTAATCGTTCAGTATGGAGAAGAAAAGGCCTATCTACTGCATAAATTTTTTGAAAAAACTTCATCAGCGTTTTTTCAACTGAATTACGTGAAAAAATATTGTAGCAGGTCTATATGCATGGAGAATCCTTCAGAACAAGAAACCAGATCTTTTCAGATCTAGCTTTGAAAATCCGAATTTGTTCTAATTGCAGAAAAATGAACTCGTAGGAACATTTCGGCACAGAATTATGAATTTAAAATATTTTTCATGAATCGAATCGATACACGTCCTCTGTTATAGGGGAATTTTTTTGGGAATGAAGAACCGCTATATAGTTAATATACGATACGATTTAAAATATATGTTTCTGTATATCCTATATATTTGAAGATAGATTTGATGATCAATATAATTGAAACTAGAACAAAAAATTGTGTAAAATAAGTATCACTTTTTTTAATGGTCGGAAAACAATAAAGATAAAAGGGGGTTCAAATTAATCAAACTATCCCGTATATGTACATAATTCCTATCATTCAGTACATACCTACCTACCCAAATCGTGAATGAGACCAGAAATTGTGCAACACTTCTATTTATTATCAGATAGTTTGATCATTGGGTTTATGAATTTGATATTTTGATTTCATAATTTTTTTTATGTTCTGGTTGTCACGAAAAGGGATATCCTGTAAAGTTGAGAGAACATCGTGAGAACCAAGGGAAATGAGGTAGGAATTGGTGTTCTTCTTAAATTTCTGGAGGTTATATGCCTCGGGGAACACCTCCCTTGGCAATGTGTTCCAGAGAGCCTCGCATATTTTAGGTTCATATGGCTTATATTTTTGTCCGAGTTATTATCGAAAAGTTTAAAAAATGCATAAGCTTCCATGTTATTAAATCAATGAAACAAATATTTTTTGTTATTCAACCCGAATTTTTTGGTAAAAAAATTACACATAATTTTTTTCAAGGCTAGGTTATCAGTATGTATGTCGAATCCTGTGAACAACTTGCCAAAATTCACATATGTATCTAAAATGAACTTGAATATTTTCAAGATATTGCCCGGCTACAACCAACGCTAGATTTAGCTATCTGGTTCATATTGTGAATAAATGTTATTGTTTCATGAAAAAATACCGATGTTGCAAATAACTATTTTTTCTTGATGGCCCAATCCCTAAAGCTGAGGTTCTAAAATCATGAGTACCTACATTTTATCAGATCAAAAAGTTTGCATGTGTTTGAAAGAACATCACTGTTTATATGGGGAGAGGGAATAAGTAAGTCAGCGTTTACTGATACTACTTTCAACATCGATGAATCATCTAAAATATCTTCACTCATAGAGTGAGGGCATATATAATATGCATGTTCTTCAATCCATTCCACATTATTTAAAAAAATTCATACTTTCATACCGAAAGCTTATCTTTTCATAGTAATTACATTTAATGATAAGGAAATCATTATATAGTGAGGTTTTCTATCAATGCAAAACTCACCCAAATATAATACTCTGACCGGAAGGTTATTCTCTTCATTATATCAAATATTGAACATAACAAATTTTCAATAATTAGAAACGAAATATTTCATGACACCTGGGCTTCATATTGATAGATTCTATCCTATACTAGCCCCACTTGCATTATTTCTTTTCATCATTAGTCATGACTTATCTTGAAAAAAGTCACGAAATAATAAGATTACCTACCTGTTACAAGTGGGTAGATAGGATATTTATCATCAGCATAATACATATCATATCTCAGGTATGGAAAACATAAGGCTTTGCTTGACTTATAATTCACATTACCTACAGATCCAAAAACGTCCTATTAGGAAGGTTAAATCAGGGGCGGATCCAGGCGATATTTGAAGGGGGGACATGGGAAGTCACGGCTCACTGAGAGCAAAAAAAAAGGAATTTTCATTGGTGCCTTCAGAAAAAATTGTTTTTTCAGAAAGATTGATTCTTTGATTCTAGTAAACATAAAATAATATACAGACTCTTTCAAGAATCAATATTTTTGTTTCGAAAAAAAATTGTTTATAAACATATACAGGCTAATGTAAGAACTTCACAAACGATAAGATTTCCACAAAATTCTTATACACACAACATGTTTCGCTAACACAGTAGCTTCGTCAGGTGATATACTGGTACAATGAACTAAAACCCTGTACCCTGGTTGTGTGTATTTTGTGGAAATCTTATCGTTTGTGAAGTTTTTACATTCGCAATGGATTTCCATCAAGTAACGGCCGAGTCAATTCAAAAAAAAAAAATATATATATACAGGGTTGGGCAAAAGTATGGAACCAGGTGAATATCTTGGTAACCGTTCGTTAGATTTTTCTGAATATATGTACAGGGTGATTTCGAAACGTGGTGGATTTGAAAATGTTATCGTCGATGTTGCCACTATCTCAGTTATTCCGAAATTATTATCAACTTCCTTATTTTAAATAGAACACCCTGTATTTCATTGGATTTTCAGATTCTCCCTGAAAAGCTGATTTCATCAATGCATCACACTTGGGGTCTAGCAAGGAAGATTGAAGAGATATAGGGTGTTCAAAATCGGGATTTTTCAACTTTAGGATTTTTTTGTGTAGAAACTATCCATTATCGGTCAAAACAGCTCACACGTCCCTACGTCAACTGTTGATTTACTATCTGCCGACATTCAATTGAAACAAATTCAGTGTGGTTCAAGGTTCAGAAATCTGATCACCCTGTATCTGTTCCCATAAAATACCAATAGATGGTAAATCAAAAGTTGAGATAGGGACATGAAAGCCGTTTTGACCGATAATGGATAGTTTCGACACAAAAAAATCCTAAAGTTGAAAAATCTCGAATTTGAACACCCTTTATCTCAGTAATCATTCTTGCTAGACCCCAAGTGTGATGATTTGATGAAATCAGCTTTTCAGGGAGAATCTGAAAATTCTATAAAATACGGGGTGTTCTATTTGAAATAAGGAAGTTAATAATAATTCCGGAATAACTGAAAAAGTGGCAACATCGACAATAACATTCTCAAATCCACCATGTTTCGAAATCACCCTGTACAGATATTCAAAGAAATCTAAAAAACGGTCACCGAGATATTCACCTGGTTCCATACTTTTGCCCAACCCTGTATATACAGGCTAACTGACAAAATCACCGAAAACCATAGGGCCGTTATTAACTATCCGATTTTAGAAAACAGTAGGAGTAGGCTGTGATCAATATTTTTTCAAATTCCAACTGGATTGTTTGTCAAGAATTCATTTGTTAAATATTTCAACACCTTATGTAATTTCAAAGTATGTGTTATTTGTTTGTTAACATACGACGGCCATCAGTTTGAATATTTCAATTTATTGCACAGCACACTTTAAAAACTTCCTGTGGTGTTGAAATATCTGACAAATGGAAAACTGATATTAATTTCCTTTATATTTACTGTCAAATTTGATGATGCATCCTCGGATGCATCTCAAAATTGTATGGATGTCTTGTCAACTGAGCATTTACTAATTCTGTTCAAAAGTCAACTTGTCACACCACTGTATTCCAAAAAAATCGTAGATCAGAAAAAAAAACATATTATGCATGGCGACATTTGAAAAAAAATATGACTCGCTGATGTTTTTATGTATGTAGATTTCTTAAATACTTGATATTGGATGAAAAAAAGAAAGTTTTCTCAAAATTATAGTTATTCTATATTCTGGTACCCAGTATACCTGCATTTTTGCATCATGAGATTCGCGAGGGATGGTGCATGGCCCCTGGATCTGCACTGAGTTGAATTGGCATAGATCTTTAATTAACTCAGTTTTCCACGGACTCCCCAAAAAAGGCACTCAATTTGTTTTTTGTAAGTTGATGTGTCCAACCAAAACATATTCAGTTCAGATAGTTCTGTATAGTTTATCCAAAGGCAATTGGAGAGCCTCGAGCAAGGAATGCCGCCACGTGCACTGACTTCAAACGAGCCGATGACTACGCCTGGCGTATGTTTTTTGCTGGAGCTGCTCCAATTGGACTAATAATAATGATGTATGTAGAAGAAGCTTATGAAGAATCGTCTTACCTTTGGTATCGTATATGCTTTTTTCAAAACTGCCCGATTGTGGTTTGGAGCTGGAGCACCAGGTTGCCTAGGAACTACTGGTTCAGGTGGAACAGTTTGCACCGGCCTAACAGGCTTTACAGTCAACTTGTTCAAAGTACTGACCCGTTTGGTACACATAAGAGTTACATCTTCTATCCTTTTTATCACCTGGAAGAAACCAATATCGGAAAATGCTTCGAAACTAAAAATTACTTCTCATGACTCACTTGGGATATAAGTGCCTTGGTTTCATGTGTAATAGAATCATCAAAAAATTCCCTGAAATCTTGGTGTCCCTTTGTTGTAAATTCTTTAGAGGTTGCAGAGAACTCAACGATCTCTTTCAAATATTTCTCTGCGAGTTCTATTGAGTTAGCACATTGTTCGATTCTTTGGGATGCTAAGAGATCAACGCCATTGCTACACCATTTATTTGCCTATAAAAACTCATTTATTTTTAAGTAGGTACTTTTGACGTAAAATGTATACACTTACACTTTCCACCCTATCCATGATAGTTTTAGTTGAGCTGATTGTTTCTATCCTCTTGGAGAGTAGTTCTATCAATAAGGTTCTCACCCTAATAAGCTCAGTACATTTCGGCTGTACACATTCTATAGGACAAGAGTTGATACTAATCAAATGTTGCCCCGATGAGATCACCTCTTCAGCTCTATCAGTATCCGTACTGCACAGTTTTTGAAAGGCTTTAGCTTGCTTCAAAAGGTTATCAAGTTTTTCCACACTCTCGCCAACTTCACTCATCTCGGTGATCGTTTTGATATTGGATTCGAAATTTACTTGAAGTTCACGAAAATCTTGCTCGAAGCGTCTCAATTCCAAACAATTCCTTAACCTAATCGAATGATTTTGCCAGAATTCATCGAAAGTTCGTTCTGTTTCTTCTAACTGTACAAGTAAGCGTTCAACAGCAAATACATTACCACTGGCATCTGATAAGGTGAAATAATCGTCATCATATGATATCGTTTTTTCTTTAATACTGGTCAAAAGGTCTTCTCCATGTTTGGCCGCTGATAGGATATCTCTCTTCAAATCCGAGTAGATCATGCTATGCTTATCTAATAACTGCTGGGTAGATTCGACATCATTTGGCAACTCCGTTTCTTCTATGTCCTTAGTAAACTCATCCAGTGCCGTAGACACTTGGTGGGTTATAGCTGAGAAAGTTTCCAGCTGAATTCTCTGCTGTATCCAGTCTTCTTGATTGTAGGGTAAGGTGCCGCCCATATCTGGTGTTAATTGCCTGATGTTGATGTGTTTGTGCAGCTCTTCTATTGTACTTAGAACTATCATACGGAATTTGAATTCGTCTTTGAATAATTTATTGCTCACTTCGGATAAGGCTTTTTGGATGAAACTAGCTGGTCTAAGAACATAAACGACATGTATGAGGCCAGGAAAAAACACCTGAAAAACTTCATTGATACCTAATTTCACAAGAGAACACAGATGAGTCAACTTCCAGTGGGAAAGATTTTGACTCACCCCGTTTTGTTTCAACTTCTCAACTCACCGATATTTTTAGAAGTACTGTTTTGACCGAATTCCATCTGTCATTTCTCCTATCTATTATTAAATGGAAGCCCAAATCTGCATCATGGAGGCTATAACATATTGAAATATAAATGTAATATGCCTACATACATAATATTATTTGAAATTAGTTCTTACGAAGGCACTGATGTTAAATACAACATCAAACGTTGATATTCTACGTCGGATAATGTTTCAAAATTATTGTTATCGGGGAAATGAATGATTGGACAGCCTTCCTTAGATTTTCCACCCGAGATAATGGCATACTGTTGTTGCAGCAATTCCAGGACATCGTTGACTCCCAAAGTTTCTGAAATAACTGAATTTTGCATCTCGAACTCCTCGCACTCATTTGAAGAATCTCCTAGAAATAGTAATTTTGTGAGGTTCAGACAAGAACAGAGAATTCCATTTTTGGTTATTTTGACGACACACAAATGAGCACTTCTTGTGAAATTAATTTCTTCAATCGTGAGTATTGTATTACAAATTCGTCTTGTGTCTATAAGACATACTTATATAGTATGAACAAAATATATAATTATATTACACTCGGGTTATACCTACATGTTATTATAATCAATATATCAAATTCCAGAACACACAACAAAACACCTACAAAAATAATCAACTAACACTGATAACCTGCTGCCTAGTGAATAGATTTTTGCGACACCCTTACCTAACTCTGATGGTAGATTTATCTAATCATATCTTTACGGATAATATTATATAAACAAATAACTGTTCAAATATGATCATATATTTTGTATAAAAATCAATACAGTTGTTGAAAATATAAGTTAAATCCGAGACAGTTCATAGAATAAACTTCATAAAAGACAAAAAGCTGATAACAGGTTGAAATGAAACGAAATATTAAACAACAATGTTTATTTTCTACTCCAAATACGGAGCATAAATATATAGTTGCAAGTTAAAAAGTAATTACATTACATTTTGTTTCTGGCTCAAATTATAGAACTTAAACTAAAATAGACCAAGAAAACAATTACTCCATGTACTTGAACTATTAACAAAAATTATAATAATTTTCACAAATTCTAATAAATTATCAAGTCTATCTATCAAACAGATTCATTTTCTCTCCATAACCATAGACGAACCGATTCACTTGAATGTTTTTTTTATATTTTCCATATAGGTAACAAAAAGTACACTTAAAAGTACATATAAAATAAATTATTACAGTAAAAAAATATCACAACCTAAATGGCTATATCTCGAATGGTTACATCCTGCCAAAAGTATAGGGAGTATGATGTTGAGCACTGGCCATGGTAGTGACAATATTGCCTTGTTCATTAATAACATAACCAGTATTAGCCAATTGGTAGGAGAAAGTGTTCGTGGTGGTATGATTAGTGGCATTCTGTGGTGTAACAATATTTCCATTTGTGGGCACTAACTGAGGAACTGGAGTAACCAAGAAAGTCTGTTGGTGATGCTGGGTAGTACCATCATTAGATGGCGCCACAACCAATGGTATAACTTGCTGCACTTCATTGTTGATAACACATTTTTGTACTTGTATCTGCTGCTCTTGTGGTCTTTCCACAACAGCTTGTATTTGTTGAGCTTGTACTTGTACCTGAATCTGCTGGGTCTGTTGCTGCTGCTGTTGTTGTTGCTGCAGGTGCTGTTGCTGCTGCTGTTGTTGCTGCTGGTGCTGTTGTTGCTGCTGCTGTTGTTGCTGCTGCTGCTGCTGTTGTTGTTGCTGCTGTTGTTGTGAGTTGGAATGAGAATTGTTATTGTGGTGAGAAGATGGGCAGGACTTGGGCTCAACCTTGCAGAACTTCACATGTGGAAACTGTTCCTTCATGAAGTGTCTGAAGGTTGAGTACCCCATAAGTTTGATACCTGGCTCTAGTATTTGACCATACTCTTTATAGGCATCATGTAAATTTTTTCTAGTTACATCCCATGGTAACTGTATTGGTTGCTTGGTATTCACAATATCCCTTTCCCCTGTATGTTGCTCGAGATACTGCTTCAGAAATTCCGTCGCGTGCCTATATATATCCAGAGAAAATGTGTTGTGTGGCTTCTTACCATGATTGCCATGTACCCTGGGTGCCACACCATGTGTCATAACATGTTTCCTGATCCTCTTTAACTGGTAATGAGTACAGTTTTCTAGATAGAGGAAGGCGTCAAGGCAGACTCTCCTTCCTTGGTACACATACTGTGCCCTCAGTCGTCTTCTCTCCTTATGTCTTACTGTCGTATCCGGATTTGCTAAACAAGCCATGGTAACTCCCATCAAGTACATATCATGTTCGCCTTTGGTCAGTTCTGCAATGTTCAGTCGGTGTTTGTATACACTTTCTGGGTTGAGTCCCCGGAAACAACTCTCGTCTTGGCATTCGCACCCTCGTTTGAACCTGTCTTTCACTTGAGAAGCACTTTCTTCGAGTTTAGTCGGATCGTTTGAGAAGCCAACTTCGCCATTCTTTTTTTTCTTCTTCACCGGAATTTTCTTCTTGATTTTGGGCGGCGTTTTGGGTTTGCCATTGGTTTGAACTACTGCTAGTTCTTCTGCCTCTGATTCTTCAATGGGATGACTAGTGTATATGGTATTTATGTTGTTCGTTTCTGGGTCCACAATTGTATGCCCTTCCCATATAACCTGAAAAAGGATATTCTTAGTCTTCATTCACAATATTGTACCATATTATTTTAATTTATATAACATGAAATCAATATATGTATTTGGGTTGCAATGTTGAAATTTATTTTTATCAGTTGATTCAGAGGAATATAATATTGAATAATAGAAAACACAAAGTAAAGAAAAGTGATATGGTCCCAACTGGGATTATGACTTGAAACAGAGAGTAAAGACATCTTGACAAGTATTGAAATTGTTCATCCAACTTCATTAGACAAGGTGGAGTCTAACGTCAAATGCTTGACATTCCAATCCATTCAATGATTGTGTAGGTGACTTTTCAAATTGGTTCACTAACTGGTATATCAGTGAAGTTTTTCTCCCACAACATTATCTCTGTCTGATGAGTATGTGAATAGATTGACTACAGAACTTTAAACTCTACAACTACCTGCTGATCGTCCATGTTTTGAGTGAAGTGTCCATTGGCGTCGATTGCCGAGAAGAGGGAGTGGGATATGGACACAGGAGTATGCCACTGGATTTGAGATTCACCATCCTGTGTCTCGGCAACCACTGTCGTATTCGACTGGAAGGAGTGTGATGATGCTGACTGGTTGTCAACGTTATTGTCCTCTTGTTTTTCTATTCTTTCAACTGAAAGCAGAGTGTGCAGTACCTCACTGGCTTCTTTCTCTGCTGAATCAACTGCAGCCATCTAGTATATAAAATATTTATGATCGAATATTTACAACCAGGGAATATATTGTTTTCTTCACTTTATCCATCTTGATATTCCAAGGATTTCAACAAATTCAGTTGGAAAATAGGGACTATATATCAAATGTATACTGATGAAGAAATTAAAATCAACAGAATGAAGAGATAGCCAAGATAGTGACATAAAGTAGTGATTGAAGAAAATTCTGCTGAAAAATCCTATATACAGGGTAATAACATGTTCCTCATGCAAGCCGTAGTTTTCAGAGCATATTGTAATTCAAATTTGGCACAAGGGTTATTAAAAGTGAGAATTCGAAAAAAATTCAGTATTGATAGGTACTCCTTCAGAAGAAACAATAACGCCAACTTTGGAATTTCAAATTGAATTATCCTACGATCACAGTTTGAAAAAAATCATTTGTATACGTTAAAAATACTGCAGATGCAAGAGTCAAAATCGTTTTTTTGTGAGAAAAAAGCGTTTTTGGAGTTTTTAGACTTTCTTGGAATTCCTTGGGAGAAGTTGCCGAGTGTAAAATGTAGTATAATTCAGTTCTACAAACAAGTGAAATTCCCTGGAATTCCTTGTGGAATTTAAGTTTGATGTACACAGTTTTGACCGCGATATACCCCTTGGTTAATAATGATCTCACAAAAACGTTTAATTGTGCCAAAATGAAGTATTCTGTATATGAATTCAGAATTAAGTGAGAACTAGGATATGCAAAAAAATATCGTAAACCCAAAAATTTTACATGAACTGGTACCTATTTTTTAAATGGAACATATCCTGTATTTCATTTTCCTAATCGGTGGAGCTCTTCTGATTTGATTTCGAATATATATATATACAGAATAACGTTCGTATAATCCGGGAGGTAATTCTGCAGATGAAAATAAGAAAAAATGATCCTATCAACATGTGTCCGAAAATGCTTCCTAAGGGCGCTAGGGCCCTTTGAAGGTAGTTCCTGCAATATGCAGATTTCTTTTTTTATCTTCGAGATTATCTTTGTTATGAGCTTTGTTATCATTGATCCTAGAATCACGAAATTTGGTACCTAAGGGTGATTCCGAGGGTGATTCGGTATTACAAATCGTTTCGTGGTACCGTGAACATGATTTGATATACAGGGGTGTACGAAACTCGTAACCAATGCTATAAAAATGCCGTAAGTGTGTTTGTTTCAATATTTATCTCAATTATACTTCCAGAATATGATTCTTCAAATACTTTTACATAAAAAAGTATTCTTGTTAAAATGACGTAAAACGGAAAGTTTTCGGAAAAGAGTTATTTAAAAGCGGATATTTTCTCGATAAATCAACATCACTATTAACTCTAGTAGTAGTAATGAGATAAATCGCAAAATAAAAAAGAATGAGGCATTTTTGTATTGGTTACGAGTTTCGCACGAGGTTTCGCACCTCCCTGTATATTCAATAATGTTTTCCGCATGGTTTTCCGTACTATGAAACGATTTGTAAGATCGAATCACCCTCGGAATCACCCTAAGGTACCGAATTTCGTGATTCTAGGATGAAAGATAGCAAAGGTAATTGAAGAAAACTGCATTCAAGGACCTTCCTCTAAAGGGCTCAGCGCATTTTCGGACACATGTTGATAGGAAGATTTTTTCTTATTTCTGTCTGCAGAATTTTCTCCGGAAGTATACAAACGTAATTCTGGGACACCCTGTATAGTTCATTGAGGTTATGTTTTGTCAGTTTTGGAAAAATATATAGATTTTTTTGAATAAATTTACGTCATCTGTAGTGCGCCAGAAATCGCAGAAATCACTGCAATTTCTGGCGTTCTACAGCTGCAGGTGTCTCCATGTGTGTGACATGTTCTCTGATGAAGAGGAGTGTACAATGCACAGCATGTAATTCAAAAATAAAATTCTGATATTCAAAAATGTTCTCACAATATAATCACTTCCATCATTATAACATTTTTTATTTTACATACCTAGTTTATTGATACTTGAGCAATGTGTTTTCATGGCTAATTTGATTCACTGCATGTGTAGGTATTTTTGTTATTACATAATCCCATTTTATCCCAGTCTACTGAACAATTAATTGAAATTATATTTTCATAACTGGTAGAATAGGTAGCTACAATACCTAGTAATACACAACTATAATTAAAATTTGTGTCAAATTTTATGAATGTGGAATGATAGTGAATGTAAATGTTGTGAGTACCTACATGAATACAGAAATGTTTATACCTACCCACCTACCTAATGTTCCAATCGAGGTACATAACCATTAGTATGGAATGATTTTAGTGGTTATCAAATTAAAATAATTAAAATCCATATCTTTATTAACAGATTCAACTGGATTGAAAGGAAGAAATACCTACCTAGCAGGAATAATAATCTACGATCGCTCCAATCATGGTTCCAACTGATTCAATTCATGATAATTTTCATCAAAATGTATTTTGACAGCATGAAAATTGTTTATAAACAAAAGCTTGACATTAACCAAAATGTAGTGATGTTTCGAGCGAAAACCGTCTTTACAGAGCTACCTAAGAGACCAATTTCGCTCGGCTAGAAATGTAGACACACAAAAGTAGCCCATATTGGCATCCATTACATGCACAGTTGACGTACCTTTTTCTAGATTAATCCTCCTTTTTCTCCACTGGTTCATTGACTGATGAAGCCGCTCTTGAAAACCCAATCCATTCACGTCACACAGCGATCAGAAAGGTGTCGTTCAACTCATAATTCTTAATAACAAACAATTCGAAATTTGCAAGAATGAATACGTTGCAAATGCTATATCTTGGCATCGTTGAAGTTCACCTTTGGTTTTGGTGGGATGCGCGTTGTAGTTGCGCCTGTTCCCGTACCTGCGTTTGCGCACTGCGCATATCCTCGAAGCATTGCTTGTTGTGATAGTGATTTATTAGACCAGGCAATCACGATTCACCTCGGAATAAAGCAATTTTCTCGTACAGGTCCGATTTAAATGCGGAAAACCTGCCAAAATCAACGAAGCGCCGCGAAAATTGATACTGGGAGTTTTGGGGGGCGCTGAATATGAATAGGCATGTATTAAATTTACCCAATTCGAGTTTGAAAAATACCTACCCCTGTGCTCCTGGAAGGAAGCGCGGGATAAGAGGAGGAGGGAAGGGCAATAGATCTGATTCATGATTGTACACAGTCCGGGAAGTGCTCATGATAGAAAAAAAAGTTGCGGGGAGAAATGGTTCGAGCCCCACCTATTTCGCTCGCCCCTGATCAAAATTTCGGAAAAGTAATATAAAGGTACAAAATTTCGTTATCTCAAAACCATGTTGTTTCGGAAATATGTACAAAAAATCATTATCTCGGGCCCTCTTTATTCAGATGGCTATAACCGGTTATAACTAACTCCCCCGGGGGCCATTTCTGGACTCATGTTTACAAGAATTTTTTCCACTATTTTTGTTCCTAGAATCTGTGGTTGAAATCTTCAAATCTACCTTTTTAATTTCGGGACACCCTGTAAATAGAATTCTAGAAACGTTCCTCGAGGTATTTGCCTGTGTATATCGTTTTCGAACACCCTACATTTTAGACATAATTAATAGAATAATCCCTCATATCCTTCTTATATCTACAAACCATTTACTGATAACAAACTGATAACATCGAGAATATCATTCGCATTTTTCAATAGCATTTAGGGATAGTTAATGGACCATTTTGAAATAACTGTGATTAATTGAAATTTCATCAATATCAACAAAAGAAAATCAAATTATTTATTATTTATATATCAATTATTGATGGGTCTTTCAATTCAATTTGAATATTCCTCAATGTATCGAGACATTTCAGAAATTCAGTAATAGAGGGTCCTATAATATAGTCTCGCCACAGATTAAAAAACCTGTCGCGCCTACAGTAGACAACGGAGATAACTTTTTTTTCAAATAATTTCCCTGTCTGAAATCCTGTCTTTGGTTATCGCTTGGATCTGAGACAAACATTGTCAGAGTTTCAGAAGCTCCATGAAATTTTATGTCAGAGAAGTTTCTACATATAGTCACCGAACTCGGTGTTATAGTGGTGTATAGGATTCGAACAATGATATAACAACTCAGAAAATCTATTTTCCTATACAGGGTGAGTCATAGAGGCTAAGGGTGGATTGTTTGGACAACAATATGGCGATGGGACCGAATATGCCTTGATGAAATATTGTTGTGGAAAAAGATACAGAGCCTTTATCAATATAGACAAAGTATTGACTTAACTTGCTTCAAAATTTATTTAATGGCAAGAAATGTGATTCATGCACCAGCAACAATCTTTTGGCAGTCCAAAGCACACTTCATAAGCCTACCCCCCACCCCCCCCTCGTCCCTTGATCTTGACTTATGGGACAACCTGTATATACGTATTTAAACAGTATATATCATTGCATTGCTGCATTGTAAATGTGCCATATATTGGATTTCATTCTCATTGAATAGTAAATTTTGATACGATTCCAACGATCTGATATTTAATAATGTATCTCCTCCGATTAACTATACGTATATACGTCAACGCCAAATATATCGAAAAGAGAATGAAATAGAAATTCATAAGAATTGTCCTGCCACAAAACTGGGTCAAAAATTTTCTCATACATTGATTAGTTACATAATTCTCATGGAAATATAATCATACTTCAACTATAGTGATAATTTGATCTGGAAAAAGAGTGAAAGTTGAATCTCTTATAAGATTCCATTCTTCTCGATGCATGCCTTAGTTGAGAAATTAGGACAGGTCAGACTAAAGAAAAATCATATTGATCATCGATGAGGTGAAACAAAGGTAGCTCAGAAGAACTGCCCTGTCTTCGTAGCCCCCTTCTGTACAATTTATTTTTTGTTTGGGATTTGACTAAAAAAATTTAAGAACACTTTCATTTCAAGTTTTCTATAAATTCAATAGTCACACACTGAATGTTACAGAATGCATAGATTAAACAAACAAACAATAAGTGCGCGATGTTTTACTATGAAAAATGGGCAAATGGGGCTTGCTCCGGGCTTGAGAGTTTTATTATCATTGATTCTCTTTGACTTCCAGAAAAGCACCGGGGGGTAAATCCGAGAATCGCGGCGGAATTCTGGTGTACAAACAACTTGAATTCCTTGGAACTTCTTCTGGATTTCCTTGGAATTCCTTGGAATTCCTTGGATTTCCTTGGAATATTCCTTGGAATTTCTTGGATTTCCTTGGAATTCCTTGGATTTCCTTGGAATTCCTTGGAATTCCTTGGAATTCCTTGGAATTTCTTGGAATTTCTTGGATTTCATTGGAATTCCTTGGATCTCCTTGGAATTCTTGGATGTCCTTGGAATTCCTTGGAATCCTCTGGAATTCTTTTGGTGGAATGAGGTATATTCCTGGGCTAAAAAGAACTGGAATTCCTTGAGTGAAGTGCGGTATAATTCTGATGTACAAACAACTGGAATTCCAAAAGAGTTAAGGTGACATTTTAGTGTATATTTGAAAAACGGTTAGGTATCCACATTTTCTATCAGAAGAAGAACAAATATTCAGGAATAACAACCCAATATATTTTGAATAATTTTTGAATGGCGGGAAATTGAGATGTCACTTTTGGATTCGCACTCCTTATTCCATTTATGATCATTTATCAGCACTTCTTAAGTTGGAAGTTGGCCTTCTTTTTGAATCTTGAATGTAAAATCATAAGTCTTTAATGGTTTTATAACATAACCAATGATATTTCCATGTTCCATCCAAATTTTTTTATAAAGTGGTCCTAAGAGAATAGACTTAAATTTTTGTTATATCTATTGTTAACATTGTTATTGATGTTAACAATTTTTCCCGAATACCATGTAAGTAGTAGACAATTACTAAAGTTACAGATGACCGCAAATCAATGCAGTTCCCTCCCAGATCTCTAAAAAAAAAGTTGTGAAATCAAGTATCTGAAATCAATTCATGTGTGTTAATGCAATATTATATTAGAATAATGTCTAATGTCTTTATGAGAATGTCGTTATTAAATAAAGTTTTTATTCATTTGTTATCGCATGATGAAAACTCGCATGAAAAGCTTCTTATACCTATATGCATAATAAATTGTAATTTCATAGCATTGTTAATGTTGAACATTCATTCATGAAACATGGTACACTATTTCAGCAGACGTCGATTCCAGTGGCGTATGTCAAAATCCTCGTCAAAATCGCTAAGACATAAATAAAAGATTTATGAGGATGGCGCGCTTTCAAATGGGTCACTCTGTATAGCTAATAAATAGGAGGAACGGGCCTTCTGCATTATTACAATATTTGTTATACACATAATGGCGAGACATGACCATTTCAAGTGAGAAAAAAATTTTTTTTGTGAAATTTGATTCCACTGGTCGTGTAAGTATAGGTTAAACTACCATGCATAGTGTAAACACCGAGGTGTAAACCCATGGACTTAATAAGTCGATATCACAGTATACACCGCTAGGGTGTATACTATGTCGATATGGTACTACCCTTCTTCCAAACATTCCTCGAAACATTCGGTATGTAGTTTTTCCGAGTTTTCGATGTCCAAGCCATTTCGGTGCCTTAAATTTAGATCAAATGGTTTATATTATAGATTGTTCGTATATACTTTCGTACTACCAATAGTGCATGCATGGCTTCCCCTTTCATTTATTTGGGTTTGAGGTACATGGAACATATGCTGTTATTTTCAGATTAATGCCTAAATAAACACAACCATATTGACACGAATTGAATTTAGAAAAATCTGAAAATAACCTGATGGTGGATTCTCGATTTGTTTTGTTATTGACACTGAACTCGGAACTCTCTCAAAGTCAAGTTACGTAATGCGAATTCGAGATAAAATAAAGTGAGAACCTTCATTAAATTAAAATCGGGTATACACGTTTTATTTACCTACCATGATAAATGAACCTTGATCAATGTTAATGTTAATTACTAAGGTACATAAAGAAAAGTACATATCAAATGTCGGTTATTAATGAAATTAAGATTCGTATCAGAATCAGCTGGTGCCGCAGTGGTACCACGTACCACAGATTAACAAATTTGTTAATCTGTGGTGGTATATACATACCTCGACTGGTACCTAGTTGTACCTATAGCATCTAAAAATTACATAATATTCATTCCTATATCATTAATACTGGTTCCTGGTACCTAAATTATACAGAGTGGGGCATAGGAACCAAGAGTTTTTGGTTTGGGTATAGTATGATGAACCTTATTGCTGTCCTGATTGATTTTCATATCAGTCGGAGATGATTTATCACGATGGAAAATGCATAACGACTACTAAATTTTTATTTTTTTTTTTTTGAGAAAAATCAAGAAGTTTGGTCAATATTTCATATTGTCAATTTATTACCAAACTATTACGAATCGTTTAATGCATGATTTTCAAAATCATTTTGAATTTTTTCGATTAAATTATGCATGAGAATAAGGTTAATTTCGTCCTAAAATTATTTTTCTGGTTAATCAATGTCATTTGAAGTCTATATATATTGTTTGATGCAAACTTTCATTTTTAGGCTGATAATGAGTTAATCCTAAATTGTAGCTCACCTAAACATTGTTAGAATAGGTATTCAGTAGATTTGAATAAAAATATATTTTATGCCCACTTATTATCAAGTTTTTTAAAATTTGGTCAGTTATCTGTGACTCCTTATCTCTATTTGAAGCAAACAAGTTCCAATAATCCTGAATGTTGAATTGTAATAAATATCATTTTATGTTGTCCTCCAATCCTCCAGACGACATCACTTTTCCTGTTGAAACTGATTATTTTTTTTATTGCGAAGCCTTGGTGACTTATTGATATCATAATTAAAGTTGGTTTCTAGTTCGTTAACTTCATTTCGTGTTATCAATGTTGATAATGAATAATAAGCAGTTTTCAATACCTTCTGAATATTTTGGTGGATCATTATATATACCTATGTATAGACATAATACAACTTTACTATGATCGCGAAACCGCTAACTACTTTCTTCGATATGCATTGCTCCAATATTCATTAAATATATAGGTGCATTGAACCTTTCGTTTTGAATCGAAGGCACACATCGTAGGTGTTTGGCGGAAATAAAAGGACCTGCTCTTCCGTGTTGTTCGTCAAAATAACACAAACACCTGCCCGTCAAAAATGAAAACTCACCCGTCGATACAGCATCTAGATAAGAGCTCCGCGACCTCGCGATGCTGGTCTTTTCCATATCCCCCAAGCTCTACGTTGAAATTGTAGCAGAATAGGATCGATTCGGGGTTTCAAAGTGATATCGGCCATAGTTGAGGCACTAAATGCCAGACAACACCGACAGTATCAACGGCGGAGATAGTATTCGGCATCGGGAACAAGGTATGATCGACACCTTTTAATTGAATTGACAGCTGTTTGGCAAGAGGGCACTATAGTATCGCTCCGCAGCACTCAAATCACAGAACGTCTCAAAAAGAAAAAAGTCGGACTCATCGTACTTTATCGTCTGTCGACAGAGTGTGTAGTATGAACTTCACAGAGCGTGCGCTAGCGAGGTTATTCCAAATTCCCTCTTCGTAAACGCGATGCATTGCGAATTAAGAGACAGCAGACAGAACCTGAAACGGTTGTCCGAGCCACTGGTTTTGTTGGTGACTGGTGTGGCATTGAATCAACTGACAACCGCTATTGTGGAAATGGTTGTAAACTGTTCGACTGCTACACCCAACACACATAACACAAGCGGATTATCCTATGGATATCCGTTTCATGTCCAATTCTGATCGGGTTATCCCTGGATTTGAAATGGATATCCGTAAGATATCCATCAAGGATATGTAATGTTCTTGGATAGCCACGAGATGTCCAGAGTAAACAGGAATCGAATATAAATTTATAAATAACGAAATCACTGTATATAAAATTGTTTGAAGATTTGTTTGAAGAATGCTGATGTATGGTGTAATTACGTATTTATTCAGACGTTTCTAGTAACACAAAGCTATCCAATGGATGTCCATTGGATAGACGTTCCTGGACCTATTGGATATACATTATGGATATGGCTCAAAATGTCCAGATTCTATCCAATAGACATCCATTGTGAATACCATCCGGGTAGATCTACTGTACCTACAAGTTCTGTACAACAATTGCATAACTATTGGACATGAATTCTATAACTTTTGGACATCAATTGTACAACTACCGGATATGAATTGGACAACTACAGTACACCTATTGTACACTCACAGTACATGCATTGTACATTTTTCGAATAAGTTTTGGGCAATATGAATGAAACTCTCCCCCTATATATTTGAATAAATTTTCTCTTCTATAATGTTTTCTCAAGAGTCTAAAGTCGAGCTGTTCTAGCCCTAAAAAATAACATCAAAAATAAGACAAAGAACAGAACAGAAATTATTCCTAACAAATTCAGATTTTTGTATATCCTCTATCAAATCCCCTTGGGTGTTGCTATGAAATAAGAACCTTGGTATTGGCCGCTGTGAGATGACATACCCTATATAGAAATATATAGAATTTATTCCATTCGGCTGAAAACACTTCATATTTTCGAAACAGTCGAAGATGGGTATAGGACATTTTTCATTAAATACGTCTAGAATTCTATGGAGAATTCAAAAATCCAATCATTTTCGATAACGTGTGCTGCCGATGAATGTTTCGTACTTTTCCAGGAATCCGCCATAACGGACTTTGAAAAATGGCGACAATATTTTTGGCGAATGTGCATTCACCAAATTTGCAAATTGGAATTCACCCTATATGGAAATATATAGAATTTATTCCATTCGGCTGAGAACACTTCATATTTTCAAAACAGTCGAAGATGGGTATAGGACATTTTTCATTAAATACGTCTAGAATTCTATGGAGAATTCAAAAATCCAATAAAATATATGAAAGTTGGCATTCGCCGCTGGTAAATGTTTAGAAAATTTCAGCTGATGAAGATCAATCGACGTGCCCCAGCGTTTTTTCAAACAGACCTCGTTTTCTCTCTAATCACTATAGGTATCGAATTTATTACATTCGGCTGATACACATTGTATATTGGTTAATACCTATACATATACCCTTGCAATCATTTTCGATAACGTGTGCTGCCGATGAATGTTTCGTACTTTTCCAGGAATCCGCCATAACGGACTTTGAAATATGGCGACAATATTTTTGGCGAATGTGCATTCACCAAATTTGCAAATTAGAATTCACCCTATATGGAAATATATAGAATTTATTCCATTCGGCGGAGAACACTTCATATTTTCAAAACAGTCGAAGATGGCTATAGGACATTTTTCATTAAATACGTCTAGAATTCTATGGAGAATTCAAAAATCCAATAAAATATATGGGATGTTGCATTTGAAATGAGAAAGTTGGCATTCGCCGCTGGTAAATGTATAGAAAATTTCAGTTGATAAAGATCAATCGACGTGCCCCAGCGTTTTTTCAAACAGACCTCGTTTTCTCTCTAATCACTATAGGTATCGAATTTATTACTTTCGGCTGATACACATTATATATAGGAGAATCAAATTTGGTTAATACCTATACATATATCCTTGCAATCATTTTCGATAACGTGTGCTGCCGATGAATGTTTCGTACTTTTCCAGGAATCCGCCATAACGGACTTTGAAATATGGCGACAATATTTTTGGCGAATGTGCATTCACCAAATTTGCAAATTGGAATTCACCCTATATGGAAATATATAGAATTTATTCCATTCGGCTGAGAACACTTCATATTTTCAAAACAGTCGAAGATGGCTATAGGACATTTTTCATTAAATACGTCTAGAATTCTATGGAGAATTCAAAAATCCAATAAAATATATGGGATGTTGCATTTGAAATGAGAAAGTTGGCATTCGCCGCTGGTAAATGTTTAGAAAATTTCAGTTGATAAAGATCAATCGACGTGCCCCAGTGTTTTTTCAAACATACCTCGTTTTCTCTCTAATCACTATAGGTATCGAATTTATTACATTCGGCTGATACACATTATATATAGGAGAATCAAATTTGGTTAATACCTATACATATACCCTTGCAATCATTTTCGATAACGTGTGCTGCCGATGAATGTTTCGTACTTTTCCAGGAATCCGCCATAACGGACTTTGAAAAATGGCGACAATATTTTTGGCGAATGTGCATTCACCAAATTTGCAAATTGGTATTCTGAAATCGATATACTTTATCACTAACGCGGATAGAGACAGAATCGAAAAGGTTTTATTTGTTTGAGAAGGTTGATAGGTGCCTGAATTTTAGGGCCTATCAATGTTCTCAAATTGAGATGACATTGAAGATACAATAAAATGAGATATGAATGAACCAAATCGCAGATATTTTAGAAACGTCAAAGGAGATAAGATTATTTATAAATAATTCAAATTAATTGAATTCAGAAGGATTATAACACATTTTGGACGACTAGGTCAGCGATATCTGAATTATTCTACACTCATAAAAATTATGATATTGGTATATTGCGAAAGGCTATTCGAATTACTGAGTACAAATCAAATTCATGTATCAGAGATTTCTAAGGAACATTTCCTCTGGAAATAGAAGTAGAAATGTTTAATGTCGCCGACTTTTCCAAGGTGTTCTAATGAGGTCACAGGATTAGATTAGTGAGTGTGGCATCATCCACCAGGCGAATGGGTCTTCTCTGGATGGAATCTAAGAGCATCAGCGTATGTTTGGGTGCTGAAGCCTATAAGTGAGAATAATATTCTAAAACTGGTCGTATTTAGCTTTTGCGATGGATCAGACATGATTTGAATAACGAATATTGCTTATAAAAATACCGAGCATAGATATAGTGGTCGTGGTGGGAACGGTGATACCAGACATTACTATATCAGGCAAACTGAGTTCTGCCTTTCTAGAGAAAATACAGGCTTGAGTTTTGGTGGCGTTAAATTCATCTGTAGGTAATTTCAGCAAGATCGTCATTGACAGCGCTGACCTGCCTTCGTCGTAAGTTCTCAGTTTTCTGGGAAGAAAATAGAACTCTAGAAGAGAACGCAGTATGGACTTGCCCTGTGGTCATGGCAAGTGGTTGCTCCCAACAGATCATTGATATGAAGTAGGAATAATGTTGGTGCTACAATTATTGATTCTTGTGGAACGCCAGAATTGATGACAATGGTATCAGACGATACTCCGTCCACCAACACATGGAGCGATCTGCTTGAAAAAAAAACTCGATAATGCATAGCTGGTAGAAAATCGGGTAAAAGACCGTAGATTTCCCCGAACACCATACAATATAGCTACCTCAAATCATTCTCCTTTTATTTTGTATATAATTACGGTTTGTTACATGCTGAAAAGGACACCAGAGGCCTATAACAGCAGTAGGGAAATTCAGGATGCTAGGATGTTTTTTGATTCGTAAAATTGGATATTCAGAAAATAAAAATCTATTAAAATTGAATCGAGGTGGTAAGCCATATGATGATAGTTTGTAGAGGAGTTCTTGGTGCCAAACACGGTCAAATGCTTTCGCCACAGCTAGTGATTCCCCATCTTTTTCTTATCAAGCTTGCCATATATTGGTGACATAGGCAAGTAAATTTCGAGTAGATATTGGGTGGTGAAATCCGCATATTATTGTCTATTATTAATGATACCTGCGAGCTTTCCAGATATTTGCGATGAGCTCAATGTTGATGGCTTTCTCCATCACTTTGGAGATGACTGATAACAGGGCAATTTTTCTATAGTTGTTGGGGAAGCTTTTGTTTCCTTTTTTGGGGATTGGTTGGACTCTTAGCTATTTTCCAGCAAGATGGAAAAATACCCGACTTGAGAATCAATCCGTCGTCATCGTTGGCTTTGTAGATGGTGGGAAATGAACTATTAGTGAAATTTCTTCCGACTGCATTATAGCGATGGACCCTAACGAAGCGATGGACAATCTATGAGTTTTGATCTTATTTTGGCATCGTATGATTCTTTTGATGCATCTATCGTTTGGCTGCAGTTATCCCTGTCTTCAACATATTTTGCTCTGGTCACGTGCTTAGGGTTATTTCGCCAGCGATGGTAGGATGTTTGATTCCAGGCAACTAACAGCTCTAGAACAGTTATTATTATTGACATTGGGAATTCGTGTGGCTTCCTTGATAATCTGCTCTAAGCCGTAAGTGATGGCGAAAAGCTTCGGCTTGTCGCCTAGCTTAGCAGTATTGTGTACATTGAAATCGCCCATAATGATGATTTCTGCTGGATGGTTATTCTGCTGAATTATATCTTCAGGGACAAGAACTCGAAGAGCTCTTCATAGGATGGATCATTTGATGATAAGGAGAGACAACAAGGATATTTGTTCTGTTTCTGATGGCTATCGAGTTTGAATCACTTTTTTTTTCATTTTCTGGTTCCCACGAAAAGGGATATCCTGTAATGTTCAGAGAACATCGTGTGAACCAAGGGAAATGAGGAAGGAATTGGTGTTCTTCTTAAATTTCTGGAGGTT